GTTCTCAGCGATTAACACAATCAATTTCGTTTTGACACAATCAATTTCGTTTTGCCTTGAATTTTGATTAACCGACTGGTTACCGTACAATTTATGCTGTTTCTAATTATGTAATTAGTTCTATAATAACGGTTATGACGGCACTAATATCGTAAACGGTATAAAAATTGGATAGTTTTTTCTACGATCAATTGGTTATATATTGCAAAACAATCGCTATCGTTGAATATTCCCGACAACAAACCACTCCTGTTCTATAAAATTCCGGATTATCACATTGATAACTCCAATGTTTTTCATCAATTTGAAGCACTCATGACAAACTTTAATTTAGCAAACCTTATGGATATTCTCTGCCCCCGTTTGAATTTTCTATGTATTAATATCTCTTAAAACGAACACTTGGTATGTTGTTTGTTTTAAATTCCATGTTTTGTACTAAATCTTTTTCGTGTAATTTATAAGAGTATGCAAATAATGGAAGACAAAAACAATGTCAGGAGCATAAGCTTATATAAATATACAGATGCAGAATATGCTACCTGAAATATTGGAATGTGTTGAAACAGCTATTCATGTATTCATATTGACCATATAACTATAAATGAAGTAACATTCTTGTTATCTTCATATGTACATACAAGAAGTATTACACAACCATATAATTAAACATGTATATTTCGGTAAGATTTAATTCATGTTGCAATTTATGATGACAGTGCTGCAGATTCTTTTCTTTACTTTTGTATGGTTTATATAAGGCTAGAACAACAAATATGATTTAGTTAGTAAAAGAAGATGACAGATCGGACAAAACTAATACGTTATTAACATTCTGTTTGGCGTACATGCAATTTGACACAGATGAATGTATGAATGTTCATGAAGATGAATGAAATCAAAGCAGTATCCAATGCACGTATTAAATACAAACGTTTCTTGAGAACTTAATTTTACGTAGGGGTCTTCACAAGTGAGTCAGGGAATGGCGACAACAATAATAACAGTCAGAGCAATTCTGCAGAAAAGTATGGCTATTCATATCCAACATTGTCTGTGTGACGAAATTACTAAACATTTTGTAGATGAACAAGATGTGAGCCAGATATTGGTCTCGATGATTTTTTTCATGAAATTCCAGACAATGCTAAAAAACAATACGAAAAAAAAAACAGTTAGATGTTGCATAATTAGTTTATATTCTTCTTATAAATATCAAATGATAAAGTTATAAATATCAAATGATAAAGTTTGATATTTAAAAGAAAAAAAAACATTAGAATATCGTTGTATGGAAACATTCATTTTGCATTTTTTATATTAAAAATGTCTCAGTGCAATATTGTGAAATAATAAAGCATTGTTATAGATTTCTGTAGTTTAAACTTGTTTGTTATAAGAAAAAATAACTTGAGAAATTTAATCCATTGTCAGTGCTTTAGAATTAAATGCTTCTAGATCATGTTTTAAATTAAATGTTTCATTTTCAAATGTACAAATCACATCAAATCATCTCAGTCTTATCTTATGACAACATTAGTTCAATTTATTCCCCAATGGATGCTGAGTATTATACATGTATATCTTAAAACATAAATGCTATTATATTTGCTTTACGGTTTAAAAAGCCGCTTGCTTGTCAACCAATGAAAATTCATAAACGACTATTAAAAGACAATGTAATTATGTTTAATAGATTGTCTATCTATAAATAGTACGCATGACGTTTGTCATTGGTTAAATGAAAAGAGCTACTTAAAGACGAATATCCTGTTTCTGTTTTGCGTTGTCAAAACAAAAAGAAAAATATAATGTCTGCGCTCAATTTATCGAGGATAGCCGTCGTCGTTTTAGGATTTATGTGATAAATCTGTTTTAGTAAAAATTTGATAAATATTAGAATCGTTACCGTCAAAGCTTGCTTCTCAGCCTTAAGATGTGTAAATCTAAATTTAAAGATCTTTATTAGTCACTTAGGCTCCAGCATACTTTTTATTTTATTTTTCAAATGTTTATTTTTTACTTTCAGTCGTCAATTGAAAATTCAAAACAGTACACATTAAGGACCCAAAAACTGAGTGATCACTATCTTTTCCTTTTTCGCTTTTGGTAAAGTTAAAATGATATTCAAGATCATTGAAGATATTTTATTGGATTTCAAGACAATATGTCATTTCATTTCTGTTTTACTATTCGTGTGACAATTTGTTCTTTTTTAAATCTAATGTACTCATATAACATGTTCCTGATAAAATTTAAAAGAGTGCGCATCTTATTAATGCTTTTTATGTTTAAAAATATTACAACCATACCATTTTAATACATATGTCTTTCAGTGCTATAATAATGTGTATCTTATACTTGCCGAATGATAAAAACTAAAAAATTTTTGCGTGATTTTGAACTGTAAGGTTATTAATCAATGTTTTTGTTTTTCAAACAATTAATTCATAAAATTCATCGTTCGTTTTAGAGTAATGTAAGGTAGTAATTCCTTTTACATGTACTATTGGATTTAAAGCGATAATAAGCCTTTATTTTCTGTTGGAAAAAAATACTTCGGTGTTTTTTCAAACTAAATATTTCACCAATTATATCATGGGAAAGTTCATCATATCACTGTTCAGTCTTCTTTAAAACAGCGTCCTTAGAGATATTTATAACGTGTCAATGACGTTGGTTTTTTAAATAAAGAGAGCGGACCGGTATAGTAGAGGTATCGAGGGATTTCCGTATTGCTTTTAATGTTTTTTTGTTTTTTTTGTTGTTGTTTTTGTTTTCATCGGCAAATTTCAATGTCCACCTAAATGGTTTTGATTTGACAATTATGAAAATGATTTATACAAAATTAGCATATTTGACCGTTAAAAAAAGCTGAATGCAGATATGAGATGATATAAAAATCTCAACATTCGTCCCCATGCATTGATGTGTTACAATATAACATCTGAATAATATTACAAATTTAACATTCAAATTTTGCAGACATCAAAAAATGTTCTCAGGTAAAAAGCCCTAAACTTAAATATTTTGCATGTATTTCCCTTGTGTATATCACATTTAAGCTTTATAAATCATGCACATCAAAGGTCAGCGTACTATATAGACTTGTATAGAACAACACATTTAAATTGAGTTTAGAACTGCAAACCACTAACATGCAGACCACTAACAAATATATTTTAAACATGCAACTTTTGTGAAAACTGGCACAAAAAATTAAGAGTTAGTTGTAAATGTGATATGCATTGTATTTTCTAGCGATATACAACTGACCACCAATGCATTCTGGTAAACTCATTAAAATGTTTGTCCGTCTGGTCCTTCTTTGAAGTAGTTTCTTAAGTCAAATACTAAAGTGTTATACCCAAAATTGAAAAAATATATAATTTACTTCATATGCAGTATTTGAAATCAATTATTATGCTCCTTTAACTGGTTGTTTCCTTAATATTTGATTCTTTTACATAAACCAGTATTTTTCTGATGTGTTAATATCGTCAACGTTCTAAGTCAACAGATCAAAAAATTAAAAATTTGAATGTATTTGTTTTGCACAAAAGCTTCCAATTTCACATTATATGTGCTTAATTCTCACTATTATTTCTCATTTAATGCACTTAGTACATGAAACAATGCTTGTCTTAAATGACTGTCGCTGTCGTTGATTTTAATATGATCTCAAATATTCATTTTCTGCCAACCAAGTAGAGTTACAAACCTTATTCAATGACTGAAAGTAAAGTTAGACATTGCAAAAAAGGTAAATGCTGTTTAAAGAGACGTAATACAATTATGATTTCAATTTTACTTTGAAGAGTTATTTATTCATATAACTGTTAATTTGTCACTGAATAATATTATGTTTGTCTATTTACTACTATCGCTCAATAGCAAAAGAAAGTAAATGAATGTCGTTAATTTTAGTACAGTAGTTACTGTTAAAAAATAAACATTAATGATAAATCTTTATCAAAGTTCAATTATGATCAAATATTTTGAAACAAAAATGCTTGGTTATTCATAGATATACCTAAATAACGAAATAAACGCGTGACTGCCGAACATCAAATTACTGTTTTGCCTTATCAAATTATAAAACAACTGCTTGACATAACTTTGACAGTAAAACAGTCGTGGGAATACATTGTTTATATCAATACGAAGTTATTTTAATGGTCGATATATCCATTCAACACCTGTTGATTTGATCGGATATCTTTTTTGTACATTTTGTATTAGCTCGCTTTAACCGAATCGTTAAACGCGTTTTTATTTCTTATAATTGTTATTAAATGTTAAGTTGTAACTCTATATAGCATAATCATTTTACTTGTCATATGATCTTTGTATTTTGTAGAGTTGTTATACAGATGTTAATAAATAATAAAAAAACAAAGCCAAAAAAAACAAAAAAAAAAAACAAAAGGGCCATGATGGCCCTGAATCGCTCACCAGAAACTACTGTTTTTCAGTGATTATAGAAATATTTTTTTAGAAAGACAAGTCCAGGTCAACTTCAACTTGCCTCTCTAGTTATAGGAATTCCCGACACTGATTGTTTTTTTCTTTATAGTAAAAATGATAGAAACTAAGTTTGGTAATCATCCATCCATTAATTTGTGATAAAAATTGCCTATGACTGTTTTTCTATGACTGTGGCGGTCCGCATGGTGGTGGTGGTCCGCATGGTTGCGGTCCACATGGTGGTGGTTGTCCGCATGGTGGTGGTGGTCCGCATGTTGACGGTGTTCCGCACGGTGGTGGTCCGCACGTTGGTGGTTCGCACGGTGGTGGTGGTCCGCACGGTGGTGGTGGTCCGCATGGTGGTGACGGTCCACATGGTGGTGGCGGTCTGCATGGTGGTGGCGGTCCACATGGTGGTGGCAGTCCGCATGGTGGTGGCGGTCCACATGGTGGTGGCGGTCCGCATGGTGGTTGCGGTCCGCATGGTGGTGGTGATCCGCATGTTGGTGGTGGTCCGCATGGTGGCGATCCAAATGGTTGGGGCAGTCGGCATGGTGTTGGCGGTCCGCATGGTGGTGGTGGTCCGCATGTTTGGCGGTGTTCCGCAAGGTGGTGGTCCGCACGTTGGTGGTTCGCACGGTGGTGGTGGTCCGCACGGTGGTGGTGGTCCGCATGGTGGTGACGGTCCACATGGTGGTGGCGGTCTGCATGGTGGTGGCGGTCCACATGGTGGTGGCAGTCCGCATGGTGGTGGCGGTCCACATGGTGGTGGCGGTCCGCATGGCGGTTGCGGTCCGCATGGCAGTGGTGATCCGCATGGTGGTGGTGGTCCGCATGTCGGCGGTGATCCGCATGGTGGTGGTGGTCCGCATGGTGGTGATTGTCCGCATGGTGGTAGTCCGCACGGTGGTGGTCCGCACGGTGGTGGTCTGCATGGTGGTGGTGGTCCGCATGGTGATGGTGGTCCGCACGGTGGTGGTGGTCCGCATGGTGGTGGTGGTCCGCATGTTCAATATCCATGCACATATGACACATCAGGTTCAACAGTGTGTCCCAATATTTATTGAAATGTGCTTTATCGAAGTAAGTAAGCTACCAGAAACAAATGAAACATTTTTTTAGGCCTTGGGGAAAAATCTCTAGATTGACCTACAAATGCCCATCTGAATTCTAGGGCACAAACAGAAAGATACAAAGCACATTGACCTCAGATCTCTGTAAAGCAAACAGGTCATGACATTAAGATATTCAATCTTTTTTATGCATAACATGTTCATACATGTGAATTTTTTTTCAAGAGGGAGAATTTACTTCAAAAATTTTTTTAATTGACAAGATATTTTGAAATGAAAAAGAAGGGAGATTTCTTTATTTTTTTTTTAAATACCCTTTATTCTAAGAAAAATATTTAAAAATTTGACAGCAGAAAGAAGGTGTCTTCCGCCCAAATTGGAAGAGTTCACATGTATTCATGTACACATATATGGAAACATTCCAACATGAGTTATTTTCCTTTCATAATTAAAAATGCCATGGCCCAGGGAATTTTAGCTATAGCTGCTCCTAATATTTTTAGCTATAGCGGCCCCTAAAAGAGGCCAATCAAATTAATATGAGCACACTTGATAAAAGACTACCTAAGAATGCTACAGACAAAGTTTGGTGATCATCCATCAATTAGTTCTGCAGAAGCAGACGTAAAAAGGTATTTTATTTTTAGCTAAAGCGGCCCCTAAAAGGGGCCAATCAAATTAATATGAGCAAACTTGATAAAAGACTATCCAAGAATGCTACAGACCAAGTTTTGTGATCATCAATCAATTAGTTCTGTAGAAGAAGATGTTTTAAGGTTTTTCTTTTTTTAGCCCTAGAGACCCATTAAAAGGGGCCAAATTAATATGAGCAAACTTGATAAAAGACTACCCAAGTATGCTACAGACAAAGTTTGGTGATCATCCATCAATTAGTTCTGTAGTAGAAGATGTTTTTAAAGGTTTTTCTAGTTTTAGCTCTGTTGACCCCTAAAAGGGGCCAATTGAAATGACATGAGCAAATTTAAGTGTGACTGTCATAAGGATGCTACATACCAAATTTGAGGTAAATCTGCCCAGCAGTTTCAGAGAAGAAGACGGATTGTTGACGCATGACGACGGACGCCGGAGTATCCTCCTTTGATACTAATAGCTCACCCTGAGCCTTCGGCTCTGGTGAGCTAAAAACCAGAATAATAAAAAATTACTTTTATTTTCTACGTATCAATGTAAATGACTCAATAAAACCGAGTCTGCAATTTTCATGAAATTTTGTTGAGATTAACGCGCAATTCAAACACATGTTTAGAAATAATAATATTGAGTGAAATAAATTATATGAATCAACTCTCAAGCTTTACTGTTATACAGTTTTAACAGTTTTAAATTGAAGCAGTACTCAGAATATTGTTACCATTAAAAATATGTATAGCCACATAACGCCTTAAGAAAATATACAAAGCCGCATAAAGTCATAAGAAAATACTTGAAGCCACATAAAGCTGTAAACGGAAATATTACGTTAGCGGACTAGAATAACTAACAATGCTTTGTAACAAGAAATACATTACACGAATAAAGATAATTATTTTTCATAAAAAATACACCTGATACATATTAATAATTGTTTAATTTATATTACTTACACACTTAAAATAAAATGTTCTATATCAAATGGGTTAAAATCAAATTACGGCATATGTCGTTTCAAACACTGATCGATACTTTGAATAATATTGTTATCTGATTTGATGCTTTTCGATATAACTACCGTAACTAATGTTCCTTTGTTTAATGGTTCAGGCTACAATACATTCAAACCGACAAATGTCAAACAAAGGTCAAATATATATCAATCTGATCAGTTTAACAATTATGTATCTTTTATTTGTTTATATTACGTAAAGTGTTAAATAATAGTCAAAGCAAATTAATAAAATTCATATTAATCTCAAATACGATTCAATGTTATGTAGATATCATGTAGATAATCTTAAAAAGAAGAGATCCCTCTTAAGCTATGGAAAATAATATAAAAAAACAGTAACATTGAAATTGCAGACCAAATTTGATTTAGTGTCTTCATAGAGAATCTCTTATGTTTTCCTAGCACCATTTTAAACGCTAGTCAAGCTCTTAATTTGCTTGAAATCATAATCCCGATTAAAATCGCACATTTTGTATACAATTATATATATAAAACGTTGGACATGCACATTTTAAGTCAACTATTAATTGCCAATATAAAAATAAACTTTATGCTACAGTTTGAAAAAATAATTTACATATACAAAGTTGCAATGACCATCACAAAAAAATGGTGCTGCAGCAACTGTATATAAAACACCATTGTCATAAACCACATATAACAACATCTCCCTAAACCTACTTTCCCTGAATAGTTACTTAACATGACACACATCCAGTTTCCGACGAGATTAGAACCAAAAGCGGTGAGGGCAAGTGGTATGAGGTCAACAACCTTAACCTCATCGCCTTTTATCACCATAACCTTATGTATCGCCTTTTATCATTATAACCTTATGTTTTTGAATGTATTTGAATTACAATCACAAATTATAAGAAATTACTTTAATCTAGTGTCCGTAGCCTTCCAACTGGTATAAATGTCATGATGCAAGATGTTCTAATATCAGAAGAAAGGTGGAGGAAATCATAAATAATTTATATGATTCACTGTGCATAATAAAGTACATGGAGACGTTTTTGATCCTTTTAAAGAACCCAATTTTGGTCATTTAATAAGTAGTTGTGTTCGAGAGAATTTTTAAGTCATTCTTAAACATATCCGGATGTAGCACATAGATTTTTCACCCACATGTGTCTTTAATCATGCAAAGTTTCAGAATATTCTCTGCTGGGTAGGTTATATTTCCCTTCTATGCCTTTGCTAAACATTACAACGTCCCGGATATTGGTTAAGGTTTTCGTTTTTAAGTTCTTATTTTGTAACTTTTATCCTTTTATCTCTAATTTGATGCAAATAATTGCAGACGAAAACGAGTGTCAGGAGCATCATATCACGAAAATATACAGACACAGAACATGCTAACTAAAATATTTAAATATTTTCAAACAGCTGTTCATGTATACATATTGACTTCATAAAAATGATTTGTATCATGTTTTGAACACACAGGGCGTATTCACTTTAATCACACAGCCGTATATTAATGTTGTTTGGTGTTTTTAATTATGAAAGCGATGCATAATTATGTTCTTATTTTAATGGTTTGTATAAGGTATGACTATCTGATATGCAGACGGCAAGTTGTAGACAGAATATCGGTCAGACAAAACAAGCACAATATTAACATTCGTTTAGGTGTACATGTATTTTGACACAAACGAATTCATGAATATCCTGAAGATGAATGGAATAAAAGCTGTATCCAATGCATAAATGTGAATGTAATACAAACGTTCCTTGGAAAGTGCAGTTTTGCATAAGAATTTTAACAAGTGAGTCAGGGAATGACCGAAAAATATTAAAGTAAGAGCCATTCTACAGAAAAAAGGGATATTCAGGAAATTAATAAAGTAGTCCAAAAAAAAGACTGTGTAAACTAGAAATGTCTTAACATTTTGTAGATTCACAAAGTGTGAGCTAGATATTTGCATCGATAATTTTTTTTATTAAAATTAAGAAACATGCGAAAGGACAATATGAAAAAGGACCAGTGAGATGCTGTATAAACATTTAGTAATCAAAAACATCGCTTTGAAAAAACAGAATAACGTTGTATGGAAACATTAATTTTGCATGTTGGCATATGCCAATTAACGATCAATATATTTCATGTGATGCTGGAATTTATTGTAAAATTCTATGCTTATACTAAGGTTAATAGCTTAATTGTAAGTAGATATACAATAATTTATATTTACAAAGAAGGATTTATTAGTGTCAACAAACATGCTTTTTCCTGTCTCTCTTTTTTAAAATTAATTGTTCTATACATTTGTCTGTTTGCAGCATAAGTATATGGTAGGGTAATGTCTTTAATTCCCAGTAACATTTTTGTTTTTTTAAATGTTAATAACATATATACATCAATTTGATACATTCCTTCAGTGTTTGGAATTAAAAAAGTGACCACATGTCATAAAATGTAAGGAACGTGAGCAAGATTAAATACTACAGCCACTAGCTTTAAACTTTATCTCACTGTCGCCAAGTCTAGAAATTTGTATAGGAGTATTCGAGTATGACTGAAAATAATGCATACTCGTTCATTCGTTGTTGTATCATACTTATAGTGAATTGGTCTATCATGGAATATTGTAATACAATGCATATTATGTTGGTAGTTTTTAGTATTAGGAATATTACAACTAATGAACAAATAATTTAACATGTAAGTTGTTAGGAAGTGTATATACATGTATATGTTATACATCTATTTCTGTAGCAATGATAAAGTGTTCTAGAACAAAATATTATTCGCATCATTCAAAATCACACAAAAAACTTTGATCGTACTTGTTTTTAAGAAAATAGTTTATAAGAATACTCATATGATACATTTTTAATTTTTATCAATATTTGAAATACTTATGGACAATGTGCCCATTGTAGACATATCCACTTTAAGGTTAAAGCTTCGATAACACAATTGTCAAGAACATTTTTTTAAATAATAAAAGTCTCGGTGCAATATGGATATATGATTAAGAGCTCTCATAAATTTCCATTGTTTAAGTTTTATTCGATTAGAAAAATAACTAAAAATATTTTTTTACCTTATACGGTTCTTCTTTAATCCATTGTCAGTGCGTTGGAAACAATTGCTCCTGGATCATGTTTAAATGTTTCTATTTCAAATGTACATATCAAATCAAAATTTACACAGAGGACTCAGTCCTGTCTTATGGCCACATTAGTTCAAAATATTTTCTCATCGATGTTGAATATTATATTTATTTAAAAAATAAATGCTGTCACTATCATTGTCGCTTTACGTTTGAAGAACTCGCATGGAACCAATGAAAATTTATAATTGACTACCTATAGA